GTTCCGGTAGAACCTGATCAGAGTCCTTGACAATTTTTGTTTGAAAACCACACACCTATCTCTGACGCTTTGGCCGGGCAGCTGGTGTCCATTGCAGACCACTTCTTGAAGGTTTTGGATTTTTCTGGTATTTAATATTCCCAGTCAAACACAATCCCTGAACATTTATTTAACCCCCCTCGATTCGTTCTAGGAGAACAATGATGTTGGAAGGTGGAAAATGTATGCGGCTATATTGGAACATAGCACAATCAAAAAACCACAAACACAGTTTTGTATTATGGATCCTTATTACACAGCTAAGTGCCAAATTTCAGCACGATCGGTGAAATTTTTTAGAGCCGCCATCTTGAGTCGGCCATTTTGAAAAAATGAAGTTGACAATTGATTAACTCCTGTCGCCTTTCTGGACTTTGGTTTAAACATAATTTATCTATCTGTAATAATTACGGAGATATAGCCCCACGAAATTTATATGGTGGCCATTTTGTTTCGCGAATTTTGAATTTTTTTACTCCCCTGTATTATTATTATTTACGTATTACTATATTATATACGTGGGGTTTGTTCTTCTCCTTTTCCCTACTTGCATGTGGACCCTGCGTTACTCTCATTATTACGCAAGGCCCATCGTGAACCATTTACGCCTCTACAATAAGAATTTACAAAATTTGCTATTTAAGAGGTTAAAAACTATATACTATAATATACTAGTATAGTATACTTTGTCAAAAAGTTTCATTTCACTGCACCATACGTATTATCGAACCATGTACCGTTCAGTTCATTATTTTTCGCGTTAACAATGAGAGATATATTTGAATAAAACCTGTACGTTGATAAAGGTTACGATATGCGATATGGCCTAAATTCTTTCTTTAAAGAAACCCCGTGCCCAGCAGTGCAACGTAACATGCGTTGATAGATTGTAGCAGTATAACTCTTTAAGATTTCAACTCTTTCAGAGTTCGTCCAGGATTGTGCCACTTAACCTATTTCTGCCGTCGAGCAGTAATGTGAACATCACTGCGTTCCGGTTTTTCAAGGGTGAAATTACAGGCACATGGGACTTGTCAAGACAATATCAAGTATGAAGCTTCATTCGCATCATGCATCTTTTAACTTGGTCGTATAGTTGGAGAGCACGTGGGTTATATTTTTCTGGATCCAATCTCCAATTGAAGAGGACGTGGGTTAAATTTTTCTGTATCTAATGGAACGTACTTCCACTCGTGCCATTCTTCCACGAGGGGTGCCAAATAATAAAGGTTACGAGAAGCAAATAAAACTGCAGCGAAGTGTGACTTTTTTTATAATATCAAGTGACGGGACAAACATGTCGGGCGACTGATGGTAAGCTACACGCCTGTCCATAACAGTTGCAGTACCACTCAGGGCTTTAAATCGCAAAGATCTGAGGGGCACTGCCACTGCGCCGGTCACCCTGAGACATAAGTTGACAAGTCCCATGTGCCTGTAATTTCACCAGCACCCTTCTTACCCTTCAAAACCGGAACGCAGTAATGCTAACATTACTGCTTGGCGGCAGAAAGAGTTTGTTCAAGTTATAAGTCTAAGAAAAGGAACTGTGTTCTCGAGTAATATACTAAACTTCCGAAAAATACTGACTTACCGCAAATACACATATTATTCTATAAAAAACATTTTCAACACACTGTAGAAACCTGTTTAATTTATATTATTATTGTATAAGGATAATAAATAATAAGGGGTACACCTCACTCGTGGAATTTGTCTGTTCGATACTAGAATGTAATTTAAAAACCAAGGTGCGGAGGGAATACTGTCTGTTTATACAGTTTACAACGCTGCATTTTCATTTCGACAAAATTATTATTGTAACACACAGGATTTTATGAAAAAAAATCCATGGTGCTTAAAAAAAACAAATGTATTTTACATGGGTCAAATCTTGGTAGCGCCCTCTCTTCAGTAGGTTAGTATATGAAAAAGCAGGGAATTTGTTTGCGTTTCCGAACATGTTTTCAGGTGAAATTACATTAATAATTTACGATAAAAACGGTTAATAATAGTTTTCGGTAAAACATAAATTAAGTAAGTAGAATAGTATTACATCAGCAAGATATTTTGGAACTCTCAGTATTTCGTTCGGTATTCTTATTAGCATTAATTTTCGTAGCTTAGTAAATAATGCAGTAATATTAATATTTAGAATAATCCTCATTGTTAATTTAATTTTCGGAGCTTTTATTACTACCCAAATAATCATACAAAAATTCTCATTGAAGACAAAACGTTTGATGTTGAAAAATTACAGGCTGTATAATAATAGTTAGCCTAAGTATAGCTACTAGTTGTTCCCACGCAAGCCCAATACGGATTGGGACATTCACACACATCATTAAATTGCTTTGCAGATGTGTGCAGGTATCCTCGCAATGTTTTCCTTCCCCAAAAAGCTCATTGTAAATTCTCAGAGGTGCAAGCCCGTATTCGAATCCACGATTTTCTGCTGAGAGACGGCTGTTTTTACTAAGTTTTATATAATAATAAAATTACCTGGCACCGAAGATATCCTTCTTGGCCAACGACTGAGCTCCAATGATCTTCAGAGACAGAAGGTAGCTGTTTTCATCAGCCTGAAAATCAGAAATATACTTATAATATAGCAACAATTACTAGTTAGAATAAGGCTCAATTTATATTGCGGTGGAAGGGAATCGAAGCGAATTTTTGTAACGATATTGTACATAGCGCAATGAACCAGAAATTCCTTCGATCCGGCCGGATTCGAACCGACATCTTCTAGCGTACCGTGCCTAGACGCTATACCAACTAAGCCACGGAACACACCAGCGAACCTTACGAATTTTTCTATGTGTTTGTTGGCGCGTCGTTGTATTTGGTTTTTTAGCGATTTTTTATTTGATTTTTTATTTGGTTTTTTTTGTTTGTAACGATTTTTTAGCCGTAGCACCATCTATGAGAAATCTTAAGTATTTCGTCACCCAGTTAGATACCTTTACAGCTACCAGCCCTGGCTATAGATATCGCTATTCATCATATTTAAATTTTTATTGGAATGATATTCAATTATTTTTTATGTGAAATTATTCCACTAGTTTCTAGTAGTTTATTTTGGTAAATTTACTGTTTTGTAAAAAACCATGGAACTAAAGTTGTTTCGAAATACAGTATGTATGGCTTAAGGTGTTATTAGGATTTCTTTTAATTAAAACATCTAAGAATTTCAGATGCGCGAATTATAGAAAGATAGTCCGGACATCCGGAAAAATAGTTTCATTTACTAAGTTGTTGTTTGTGATATTAGTAATTTGCCCCAGGGAACTTTTTTATATTTTACAAATAACCTTGTATTAGCATTTATGCTCAACCAGTGCATTTTCACTACCATGACTTTCAAAACTGTTTAGTTTAAAGTCAAAGTCAAGAATTGGCTTTTAGCTTTAGATTACCATGAAACCGAAGCGTTACTGTAGTAATTGGTATAAAGTTTATTATTATTTTTTAATTAAACCAAAAATTGTTCCTTATCTAAAAATTATAGCGAATGTTTTTTGTTTATGTGGCATAAATTTTCCATCACGAAATATTTCAATACCCACACTAACTCAGACAAACACATACACCCACACACACACACACACACACACACACTTGTACACAAAATGACATAGATATATTTATCACAATTTGCATATCCAACTTGTTATATAATTATTACTTAGAGTACTTTTTATCGAGACTTTTAATAATAGATTCTTTCACTTTATTTTTTTGTATTAAATTTTTAATTTATATTTTTCTCATGAAATAAACTTAAGCCTTGTCAAAATTTGGGAGAGGGCACTGGCTCCTGTCACACAGGTTATACCTAGCTCAGGAGTCAGAGACTTCATCAATATGTTGTAATCGTATTTATTTTAAAACTATTATTATTATTATTATTATTAGTTTAATTGTTGTAAGTTCCTTTTATTTATTTGATATTCGAGTATTACTTTTACTTGATATTAGTAAATAAGTTGTCATGGAAGTGAATAAAATTCTAATATATCTAAATAAATAAGATAAATTTCCATTACATTGCTACAGAAAAATACTAATTACAAACATTTTACTAAATGCTGTAAAATAATCACGTTTTAGTGTAAACAAAACAATGGCATAATAATATTATTTTTCCTGTAACCAAGTAACAATGAACATTCTAGATAATTAAAACTTGAATGTGAGCGAGACTAAATTAATCAAAGCCTAAATTACCATTAAAGAGGGCTTATTATACACCAAAAAGGAGAACTAAAAAATAACTACATGTATTGGATGCTAAAACTTGGCTATTCTCTCTCATTTGGCATGGTTTGGTATGACCCTTACCCTATATACCAAATGAGCTACCCTATACACCATAATAGCAGTAAAAATAATTTTATAAATATCTATTGTCGCTTGGTAAAAACCTATTAACATTGAGAAACAATTAGGGGCTGGTGCAATAAAGTACAGGACTCACATCTACAAAACCCAAAATTGAATAACTATACATATTGGTGCAACGGGCTAGTTTCCGCAATAACTATACCTAATGTACATAAATCAATAGATTTCTTTTAATTTTAGTAGAAACAGAGTTCGCTCAAAGAAGCACTGCCACGTTACCTATTTCTGCCGCCAAGCAGCAATGTGAACAGTACTGCGTTTCGGTTTTGAAGTATAAGAGTGCTGGCATTTGGAATTACATGCATGTGGGACTTTTCAAGTTATTTCTCAGGGTGACGGGTGCAGTGGCAGTTCCGATCCTTCTGTTTCAAGGCTCTAAGTGGCACTGTAACTGTTATGGACAGACGTGTCGCATAACACCAGGCGCACGACCTGTTCATCCCATCATTTGGTATCAAGAAAAAATCATAAAAGAACTACATATATGTATAAATGAAGTTAAAAATCAACACTCTAGTTTCTGCACATGAATACTTTAAAGGGGAAACCTCAAAACCAGCAGTCTTTAAGGCACTTTTTAAGTCAAATTTTTTAACCTATCTCCATGTTAACTTTAAACTATTAGGCCATTCCAAAGTGACGGGTGGGACATTATGACTCCTTTTTTCTTGAACTTTATGTAATTTCTCCCTAACCATTGGTTAATTAGACTTAAAATGAAAATATCATGAAGCCAGATATGCAATTCAACTGCGACTATTTATTTACATAAATTAATAACATTATTTATACTCAAAACTTTTACTTTTCTAAGTGTGACGGGTGTGACACTCATGACACCCGCTTGTTTGAGTTGATGGCTTCATTGCCAAGATCAAGACAAACTATTAATATTTTGTTCAGCAAGTTTTTCATATGAGATAACTTGAACGTTAAAGTTCTAATTTATATATACTTAATTAATAACTTTGACAAATTTTAAGGAAACTAATATGTTAAGTAGTGACGGGTGGGACATGATTTTGTGGGATTTGTTACAATGAATACACAGAATTAGTAAAATTACACTGTTTAATATGAGATCCATCGTTAATAAGCAAATATTTTATAATATTTGTCTTATTAAGACATTTTACCAAAAAAAAAACAGAATTAAAGAACTGATAAAGTAACCCTGTTATTTTTCTTGAAGCACTATCTATCTATGACGACATGAAATCAAAGTCACTGATACTAAAAATCATCAGGAAAAATGTTGTCACTTTTTAATTGTTTTTGTTTACGTGAGTAATGTCTAAATTATGAGAATTATAAAAAATTTGCTTACAAATGATGGATTTACATATAAACAGTGTATTTTTTTAAATTCTATGTATTCAAATGTAACTTGTCCCACCTGTCACAAAATGGTGTCCCAATCGTCACAATTTAGCACATCAAATGTTAAACTCTGAAATTAAAGCAGCTGTTACACCTAGTAAACATCGTAAAAACTCGAATTCATGAAAATACAAACATTTATTCAAAGTAAAAACGTTTAGAAGTGTGTCCCACCCATCGCTGCGACGGGTGGGACACACTTGCAAATCTTAACATTTACCTTCTTATTTACGTGCACATGACCATCCAAGCCAAAATAATGACCCTTAGAATAATTGTTACTTTTACAAAACCCAATAGATTGCATATTTATTGGTTAAAATAAAAATATGTATGTTTCATTGTGTCAGGTGGGTCTTGAAACTAGTATTTATTGAAACTTTAATAACTCCTCACCAAATATACTTCCATGCAATCACTTATCAGTTTTAAAATTCATAAATTGTATTTTCTTCGATAGTAATAACTTTTTTTAGAAAGACGCTCAAATAACCGCGAAAGTTGTTGTTAACATTACAAGAAAAAATGCTTCACTATAGACGACAGCACTACGGCTGCGTTAATAAAGACAAAAAATACAATAATTGTACAATATCCGAAAAATCTCATTTATTTCTAATGATTTGATTTATTGGGCGTATTCTAGTCATACAATTAAAACTAAATTGTGTAATTTATTTTTTTGGACCGCAGTGTCATTTTTGCTGGAATGACCCTATTGCAATCTTAGGGTCGTATTCCAGAACTGTACTCAATGCTCAAGTCAGGATTTGAGCAGACTCGAGTATGATTTCAAGCACTGGAAATACGACCCTAATGGCAAGGACTTGAGTATGATTCTCAGTGCTCACAGCAATACTCAAGTTCTGATCTGAGTATTGAGTAACGTTCTAGAATACGACCCTTAGGGTCGTATTCTAGAGCTCTACTCAATGCTCAAGTCAGGATTTGAGTATGGTTTAAAGCACTCGAAATCATACTCAAGTCCCTGCCATTAGGGTCGTATTTCCAGTGCTTGTGTTTCCAGTGCAATCCTGACTTGAGCATTGAGCAGAGTTCTAGAATACGACCCTCAATGTGACCACCAAGTTATACAATAATTAATAATAAAGTGTTACTGTATAAATTATATTTCACAAATGTGTCTTATATTACAAACAACTTTTCAATTTAGAAAGCATTCTAGTTCAATAGGTATGTAAAGATTGTGATGGACCATCCAAGCCCTAATTTATCTCACAGGTAAAAAGCCATGCAACAAAGTACAATACTGGGTGACTGGCACATACACAATGGGACTGAGTCATTCTTTTCTGTAAAGCATTTCATATTTTTTATGACCTCATTGGACTAGCCTTACACAAAATGGGCCTAAAATGAAGAAGCTCTGGGTATCATACCTGGCAGGAACAATTTAGGGTATTATTTTTTCTTTTTTGTTTCTCCATATATGTACAAGCAGTCCTCAAACCATAAACAAATCACTTTTCTCTGTTTCTCAGTAATTACTCAACTGATTGTTTATTCCTTATACTTCTTCAAGCATGTCAAGCTACCCAGTTGCTCCACGTCAAGAGTAACAAACTATGGTCTTTAGCAGACCTCAATGGAAAAACTGCACAATGGAGAGGCGCTAGCAGAGCCCCGCAACTCCAAACATATGTCCATATCAGTTTTAAGACTGACTTATACATCAGCAAATTGTTCTCAACTGAAAGGTGTTTTTGTCTAAGGACTCTGGGATACTTTAGTCTCATAATAATTTAGAACAGTGTAGTTATTATTTTGTATGTCTTTTCCCTAATTATATCTTCCTGTTAAGTATCAAGAGTCATGTTTATAAACACCAATTATAGGTACACAATGAATAGTCAATTCCACAATACTGACTGGACTGCCCATCTTTTTGGTTTTATTTTCTCCTCTCTCCTTTATGTCCTCTATATCCATCGAGTATATAACCAGAAATAGACAAAATAAGGGCCATACATTCCTGGTAACTGATCAATGATACATCACTTATAAACATCAACTCTTGTTTGCACTGAAATATAGAAGCGCCAACAAGTGACCTGTGTGTATGTCTCCATATATTCCAAAAATATTCTGTGTTTATTGTACTAAAAATCTAACAATGGCGTGCTGTTTCATTTGGTGGTGAGGGTAACAACAGCAAAACATCTAATTACAAAACAAATGGAATAAAATTTCATGGATAATTAAATATTAAATATGTAATTTTCGTTCATTAAAGGGTCGATTTGAAGTGAAACAATTGACGACGCCCATCAATTGTTTCGAAATCGGGCTGGCCAATGGGAGCGCAGTTGCCACAGTAATGATATAGCAGAATAGTTTTCAAACAAATTAAATGACATTTCGTCTCTATTCCTGGTTATATACTCGATGTCTATATTAAACCAGACACATAGTGTTGAATATTAATCTTAGCAATGATGTATTCAACAACTATTTTATATACTTTCATCATTATAATATTAATAGGTTGACTCGTTCAGCGATAGTGCAGTCCTCCATTATGACCAGCTGCTAATTTGTTGTGGTCACCACTAATTACAATTCAGAGTTAAGACCAACAGAATGAAAGAACTGTATGATTCTTAGCTACAATTGTCTTTACATCCTCTGGCTGGGACATATGATTCCCCACAAGAGAGTGTTTTATGACTATTCTAGAGCAATATTGACTTCAGACATATGCAGAAGCATATTATCCACTTCACATGACAATCTATAGGCTGTTATTTAGCTTGAGGTTGAACACATGGTTATTCAAAGCCTAGCCTGAAACTCTACGTACAAACACATGTTCCTATCTACAGCATTTCCATAACTTGTAACATTTAGTTATTTTGTATTACATACTTGCAACAAAACTTTGCACTTTATATACTGTTTTAAGTAAATGAATATGATTATCAGTATCATTTACACTCTCAAAAATATGCAATCAGTTAGTCAGACTATAAATATAGAGTTGAAGAATGTAGAGTGACCCAGAAAGTCAGGCTCTTTGCCCTATCCCTTGTTAATTTGGTAGCACAAATCTGCTCTCTTGAGCATCTTGATTGGGTCAATTGAGTTTGGCAGTAGCAGCATGTACTGCAATGAGTTTATAGGAGCCTGTACTTCATGTCTATAATTAACAGAATAGTGCTGTGCTTCCTTGACAATATATTTAGTATTTCCATGTAATTGTGGATAAACAAATAAATGAAGAAGATACGAAATATGTAACATACAATTACAAATATATGTATGCAAAATAAATAAATAAACATTGATATTAGGACAGCAGCTAAGTTTCATTTCAATTCAGATATTTATGTTCTCCTTGCAGCGAGGTATAAACAAGGTCAAGTTCAGGCTACCATTCTAGGATTATGCCCAATTTCTAGATTTTTAGTAGTCTTATTTAAGGTAATAAAGTTTTATAATCTAATGCAATATGTTTCCACAACATCAAAACAAATAATAAGTCCTTAGTATTTCCCTTAAATCAGCACACATACCTACTAATTATTACATTGCATTGCTAGTAAATATTTATGTTATTTATTATTTCCTTAATAGCGGCCACTAGACTTGGGCCAGTGTCAGTTTCGAAGCACGCTGTCAGTTAATACTGATCAAGAACGCTAATGTTCAGGCAGCAGCAGGTATTTGTTTTTTGAAGAACTATTTTTTTAATCAAGTGATGAGACAAACAAGTCATGTGCGTGGTGGTAAGCTACATGCCTGTCCATAACAGTCGTGGTGCCACTCAAAGCCAAATGGCAAAGTTCTGAGGGGCTCTGCCACTGCGCCTGTGATTCTGAGATATAAGTTGACAAGTCCAACGAGCCTATAATTTCAACAGCACATAATACCCTTCCAAACTGGAACAATGGTAATGTCACATTACACGAAATACGTAAGGTGCAGTACTTCCCTGAATAAACTCTTTTACAAGGAGCTCTACTGCTAATAATAAGAATTCTGAACTGTCTTTTGTTCCACACTTACATGGACACATATGGTGTCTTGCACTATATAGAAAACCAATCAATTATCAAACTCTTTTCATTTTTAAAACAGCCACATTTCTACAATTGTACAGAATTGGTCTTCATGCATTGACATTGTACAATAATGTATTATCGAAGAACTTGTTTTGTCCAAATTTAAGCTAAGTTGAAGGACAAATCCTATTACCAGACTTAAACTAAGTGTATTATCTACCCACACGATTCAGCCATTATCTACATAATTACACCACAGGAAACAATTGCAACAAGGATACAGGCGCAGCTCCAACTACGACAAAAACCATGAATACAATAATCATTTCTCTAAATAAACACCATTTAAATGCTAATCGATCACAAGGACATGTTCAACAATACCGCAAAAATATTTATACTTTGTGACGCTCATACATACCCAACAAAATTTAAGTTTTTGTACACTTACACGAATATCCGACTGCCAAGCCATCACCCATGTGAAAATATACTATTTTACAAACAACTTGCACCACAATTCACATTCCTTTTCGTATCACATCGGTCAGAATAACAGTAGAAATTCGTTGACACGTTTTTCAAAGATTCCGTACGGTACCACAATAAAGCTAGTGCTACTGAGTTTTAGCATCAGAAACACGCATTAACACGTCTAATATAAAATCTACACACCAAAACTATTAGAATTACTTATTACAATTACGATTATACACAAATAAAAAACTAAAATATCGCACAGAGTTCGTCTCCAAATAGTGACAGGAGGTGACAAGCACAAATGACATGTGTCATCGGCAAACTTTTTCACACATGCTTTTTCTATTTACGCAGCTAAATTACGAAGGCGTTGATTCATAAATAATTTTTATAAAGTTCTGTTTTATTATAACATTAAAATTTATCTATTTATACCCAACAAAAAAGTTTTCATAGAAAATATCAAAAATATTTTTCTACATAAAGTTTTTTTTTATAATATTAAATGGCTGGACGAACAAGTCGTGCGCCTGATGGTAAGCTACACGGCTACACGCCTGTCCATAACAGTTGCAGTGCCACTCAGAGCTTTAAATCGCAAAGATCTGAGGGGCACTGCCACCCTGAGACATAAGTTAACAAGTTCATTTTCCCGGAAATTTCACCAGCACGCTTACTCCTCAAAACCGTAACACAGTAACTACTGCTGACTTTACTGCTTGGCGGCAGAAATAGGTAAGATGACAGTACTTCCCTGGACAAACTCTTTCTCAAGAAGCTCTATTGCTACTAAAACCTTACTTACCTATTACTTACTTATAATAATGTGTCATTCATTAACAAACAATAAATCTGCTTATCTCAAAATTCATTAGGCACAGGTTTTTGAAATGATAAACGTTCGTAATAGGCTTAGCATCTAATTGTTTAGTTAGTGTACTACTTACGGTAACTTGCAAGGAATACCGAGGCCCTGATCGTGAGCTCTGTCTCTGCACCGCTGTGAAGGAAGAAGATCTATTTCGATGGAGCTCTGCAAGCTCAGAAGTAAATTCCGACGGCCTAACACTGTTCATCGTCCTGGCTCTATCTCTCATTTCGAAAGGACACGTTAACATAACGCTGCACCATCACAATAAAAAACAGTCTAATAAACGGAGAACACGCAAAAAATAAATAAACCAGAGGGAATGAGGTTGCGCAGAAGCTAGCCATATGACTGCTTTAATCTTATCTCTAAAAATGGGCGCGATAAAGTTGTCAGCATTTACAATTAGCGACGCAGTGATAAATCGGCGGAGTCATACGAAGTTCACGATGAGAGCGCTTTGTTTAAATTAAAAATTTTGCAGATAACGGTATCGGTCATTGATGTTTCTAATAAAAAAATCTGAGCAAAATAAGTAGGTCAGCGTAAGGTTTTTAAGAAAAGCAATTTTTCAAAACCTGTATAAGGCTCGGGTGTCATTATCATTATGAGTAGTTGTATCGTTGTATCAGATATAATGTCTCGTTTTCGTTAAAAATAGTAATAGGTATTTTTCTTATTTTAATGTGTAATGAAACGTATGTCCCAATGACCTCTCTTTTCTTTTCCCACCAAGTACCAAATGCTTTTCAAACTTGTTTAATTTAAAATTAGCCATCAACACTTAGATACTCCTAACATCTTTATATTCAGATAGTGATGATATGTGTCCACTGAATTTAATATAAGTAGTTAGAGTTCGCATGCCAAATAAAATTTTGTTTAAATAACAAAGAAAATGTTCATTATTAGTTAAGAAATCTTAAATAATTATATTTTATACAGTTTAATGGAGTACATTATATTGTTTATTGAACACACAATGAAGATTATGTGACGGTCCAGCGGCGACAGCAGCTTCTCGGTCTTTTTTAGCTCTGGCCCTCGATACGAAACTCTGAATATGTAATAATCTTAGTAAAGAGTAATTAAAAAAAACGACTTGAAAAGTTCGTGAAATTAAATTCTATTTGCCAAGTTTTATTGAAATCGGTTACCGGAAAATGCGCGAAAACGAATTGATCCCCTAGTTTGCCACCGTTAGAGGTGGAATAGGTACTTTCTTCAGACTGGCACCAATATTCAGGTACCCTCTTTTCAACAAACAATCATCAAAATCAGTTCACAAATGCCGGGAGTTATCGCGTAACATACATACAAAAAAAAAAAGAACCTTACCTATTTCTGCCGCCAAGCAGTAATGTCATCATTACTGTGTTCCGGTTTTGAAGGGTAAGTAAGGGTTTTGGTGAAATTACAGGCATATCAAACTTGTCAACTTATGTTTCAGATCTTTGCGATTTAAAACTCTGAGTGACACTGCAACTGTTATGGACAGCAGCTTGATTTTGATTGCCTCTCCCGATCAAAAACTGCATCTTTTCCGAGTCGAGGCGTATAATATTGCGGATGGGCTACCCGATTGGAACGATTACGATTTTCCTTTGCACCTTACCATGAAGCGCACGACTTGTTCGTCCCGTCACTTGATATTGTAAAAAAATACGGTCGAATTGAGAACCTCCTCCTTTTGAAGTCGGTTAAAAGCTGTTGCTTGTGATTTTCTATGACAAGAACTTTCAGATCTTTGTATAACATACATATATAAAATTTTATTGATTAAATAAAAAAAAATCCTTCGATCTGACAGGACTCCAGCCAGCGTGTACTGTACGCCATACCAGCATGCTGATTTTGATTCATATCGGAATCGAACTAATCGGGTAGTCTCGAAATCAGATGGGTTTCCGAGCGAGAAGATGAATCTGATTCCAACTATATCTTTCTTATTTGTGAGTTAAATCAACTATTGTTCCGATTAGAAATGTCAAAAGTTTCCGATCGGCCAGTTGTGAAGAGTTTCCGATTGAGAGAGGCAATCAAAATCAAGCTGCAGGTCGCCCGTATGGCACAACCGCATTACAACAAACTATAGTAATTTTTGCCTCCGACTGGACTGCCACACAGAGGTCCTGGACCGAATGAAATATTTCTATAGCCCACATGTATTACTCTCGTGAATTTGGGGATAATTTATGGTTGTCTATATGTGTGTGATCATGGCAACCGCGATACAGGATTTTTCCTAGTGCTGAATTATGAGTGTATAAAAAATCACAAAAATTAAATTAATATCATTGTAGTAAAACTAATAAAACATCATCATATGCATTACTATTAACATTGTACCTACATACGTACACTTTACACCCTTTTCCCATTGGATAACACCTACAGACCACTGCCTTCCACTTGCTATGATCCCGACACACATCTTTCGCTTCATCAACAAATGCTGTCAATGTTTGTTTACCACATTTAAAAGGTGTGGTTACTTTATGTCTGGAGCATGGCATTATTCTTAGTAAGTACGTGTTTTTCAAGTGAACGTACCGCCTCTCACTTGAGACTGGTGTAGTTCCCGTCGTGGAAACTTGTAAACGTGCAGCCTGTACCGAAAAAGGGAAGCAGAGCTGACACTGCCAACTACAGACCTATCTCAGTCACTTCCATACTCTGCAAGACTTTGAAACGTGTGCTCAACAACCGTCTCCTGTCATACCTTCAAGACAACGACCTCCTCAGTGATCGCCAATACGTATTCCGACGAGGGCGATCAACTGGGGACCTTGTGTATGCTTGTCACATATGGAGCGAGGCTATAGAAAAGCAAGTCGTAGCACTTGCAGTGTCTTTGGACATGCTGCATATCAATGATATGTTAATTCCAGGTACCTTTGCGTATGCTGATGACAGCACAGTTGCAGATAGGTACTTGATCAATGCAAGGATCAGTGGAAAGGAAATCCAGTCTTGTCGAGAGTCCATATTCAAATTCATTTCAAATTCAAATTCAAAATTTTTATTTCGGACATAGTCCATATCATGTTAGTAACAAACAGCTTATAGCCTATGTTAGTAAGACAAATTATTAAAACTGTATCAAAATTCCAAATTGAGAAATTAATTAAAAAGAATATATGAGTGAAAATTAAATAGGTAAATTAAATCTAAAATTGAATAATAAAATTACATAAAATTTACATG